CCCCACAGGCCTCTGCCCCCACAGGCCTCTGCCCTGGAGCTGCAGCCTTTGGTCTCGCTGCCCTCCTGGATCCTGGCTCAGGGTGAGTGTGGAGCTGGGTGTGACTGCCAGGAGCAGGAGCTTCCCACTGAGAGCTTCACTGGGAGGGCTGGGGGGAGTTTTCCTGAGCTTTTTTCCTCCCCATCCTCACCCCCAGGATGGGGAGGGTCACAGCAGTGAGATGGAGAGGGAGCCTCTGCAGGGTTGTAGTGCAGCCTGATTCACTGTTAAGTGGATTTGTGTCTTGTGGACTCAGAGGTTGATCTTTGGTGGGTTTTTCCTCTGAACCCCTCTCTGAGTCCCTGTCACTTTTGTCCTCTGTTGCTTGGCCGTGTTTGATGTCATCCCTCACTCGTGTTGCCATCTGTTTCTCTCTCTTTTTGCCTATAAAAGGTCATGTGGAGAGGGCAGTACGATTGGCAGTGGGGGAAACCACTGCCATGGATGCATCCAGATGCCATGGATGCATCCAGCTTCCAGAGCAACCTGCAGAGTGAGGCTGAACTGGTTTAGCAAAGCACTGGAAGTGCTCTAGTCTGTGGGCACAATCAGGCTCTATCTTAAGACTGTCTTTCCATCTGCTGTCTTGCCATTTTGAAACCTTGTTTGGTGGTTAGAAATGAGAATATCTCTCACCTGAATTTAATTGTGATCAGTTTGTTATTTTTATTTTTGTTGGTTTTTTTTTCTGCTGCTCTGCCCCTGTGATTTGAGTAGCACAACTTGCTCTCCAGTGGCTCTGGTGGCTGCAGTGGCTGTAACTGGGATGTGTAAAACCTTCCTGGGCTGTAGTTTGTGCTAGGGCAGGAAAGCTTGAGCAGGTTTCTCTTGGTAGCAGTGCTGTTTTTCACCCAACACACGGGGCTGCAATTCAGCTCTCGAATGAGTTTTATAGACTGTCTGCAGAGTTGGTGCTGCTGTGACAGTGCTGGTCTCTGACAGTGTTGGTAGGACCACGCCTTTCCTTTTCCAAGACTGTCATTACTGCCTCACGTGTGGATTCTTCTGCCCTACCGAGCCCTGAGTTTACAGATCAAGTTTTAAAAAGAATATTTCCCGACAGGGATATGCCTAATCATGCCCCCAGAGGGAGGAAAAAAAACCCCAAACCCAAAACAAACCTCAGCTGACTCAACCTGCTATTTTCCTCGTTAGGCCAGAGTCTTTCCCTTCACTAAATTCCAGGGTAAGTGGAGCTCCTGTGTGCTTGGCACTGAGTTATTTCGCTGATGGATTGTGTGTCATCAGTCACAGCATCTGTTTGTCCTGCTGAGAAGGGAATGTGACTTCTCTGTGCTCCTAAAACAATTCCAGAGTAGGTGCTGGCTCCCGGCTGAACGGTGGCCACAACTCTGCTGTGCAGGGGAACCACTTACCCCTGCAGAAAGAGCCTGTTGTTTTATTCAGAATTGTAAATAGCTTCAGCTAAACCAGTGGGATCTCCATAATGTGCTGGTAATCGCCCTCATTGTTCATTCTTTAAAACAAGAAGCCGAATAATTATGTTTCCAATTCACTCACCCCTGCTAATCTTTCCCTGACAAGGTAATCCTTGAGCCCAGGATTTACTTGCTTGTGTCACTCGGCAGAAAGCTTTAAGGCAGTGGTTCCACCGAAGTATCTCCTGAACTCGGATCACCTTTTCCTCTCTGCTGTTGTCCTTACTCTGTCGTTTGTCATTCCAGTAAAATCCCTGTGTGGTTTGGAAGCTTCCTGCGTTCCCGCTGAGGAAGTTCTCTCCGTGTCGGGAGAGTCCTGCGACAGCAGCGATGAGATGGACACAAAGGAGGGCATCAACGGGCGGGCTGCCTCGAGGAAAAAGAAGAGCAAAAGGCACAAAGGTGCGGTCACAGCTGCCCGGGGGCTCTGCGGGCTCCTGCTGCACCTCCTCCTGGTGTCAGTGTTCGGGATTTACAGGCTGCTCACGGGTCGCACCGAACGTGCATAAAGAAATGCCGGGGGTTCAGTCACTTGGAAATCTCCAGGCGCTGGGTCAGGGGTGTTGTGTTTGCACAAAGGCAGAGCCTGGGGCATGAAATCAAAGCCTGAGAGCTCCTTGCTTTGAGTAAATATCTCTCAGCCTTGGAAAAAAAACAGTGCTCTTCCGGAGTTGGGAAACTTTGCCACTGGACGGGTTGCTTCACTGAGCTGGTGTTGGTGAAAGCAGGTTTGCTTTGGGGGTGAATTGTTGCTGTCCACGATGCAGTTGTTGGCAAAATACAAGCTCTGTTTTCAAGGCTGTGGTTTGTTACAAATGAGTTCAGAGCGCTGTTTTTCCAGCAAGGAAGTGCATTTGGTCCTGTTGGCATCACAGTAGGTTGATTCCAGGGAGATGAATCCCTCAGCATTTACACTTTGTGCAACTCTACAGAAAAGCCATTTACAAAGCAACAAACAGCTCTGCTGCACTGTGGAACCCTGCAGAAGTTTCTAGTAACAGGTTGCTTTCAGGTTGAGAAACACATTTTAACTGGTTTTCTTGAGCTTGATACTAATTTATGGAGCACATCACCATCCACCTCAGACTGCACAGCACTCACTGGGAAGGGAGTTAAAGGAGTTTCTCCTCTTTTTTTCCGACATCCTTCAGAATCCTGGCAAAATAATACCTGAGTGGCTGGAGTTATGAGTCTGGGAAGACAATATTCTGTTCTACTACAGCCTTGTCTTATTTTTACTACCTGTTAGGGAGGAAAAAATGGTGCTAGACCAGTGATGGTTCTGGCTGTGCTCTGAGTTCAGCAGCGTGGAGTTTGAGGGCTCCTTGAGCCAGAGATGAATTAGCAGAGTGGATGTTGTGGGTGTGTCTGCCATAAATCTGAAGTGCTGTGGGGGAGTGATCACCTCCAGAGCTTTCTTGGGCAATTATCACGCGAGGATAAAGAACTGCCCTTTGTTCCTAACCTGTCTCAGGGTTAGATCTTGCAAACACCACCCCTGTGCCACTTTTTATGCAGCTTTTCCTGTCAGCACCGTGTACAGGTTGTGTTTTTCTCTTCTCTTACCATTCCTAATGCTCGGGATTGTTTAGGTATTTATACTCTTTAAAGGTATTTTTTTCTCCCAAACTGGGAGCAGTGGCTGTGGAAAAACGTGTGGTGTAAACCTAAAAACACCCCAGGAGTGAAAGGAGTGTCCAAACCCTCAGTTCTGGCTGAGCAGTTCTGACACCTCTGGGGGAAGAAGAGGCCATTCTGTTTGAGCTGCAATAACGTTTCCCACCCCAGAAGTTCTAATGGAGTTAGAGATTTAAGAAAAGCAGCTGATTGCCAGTTGCAGGAGAGAATTGCTTTCCTTCCCTGACAGAGCTCCTGCAAAAGCACTGTGACCACTGGAACAGAGGATTGACAAGCTGGGCAGTGTCTTAATGCTCAAGGACTTGCAGTTCTGATGGCCTGTTAAATGAGCAGCTTTGATTAAATATGCAGGAGCTTGTCTCCCCTTTACATAAAGTTGCCTCTTTATTTGCCACCCAATTTTTATCTCTTCACTTCAGGGTGGTGTTTCAGCTGGGAAAGGCTCAGGCATCGAAACAGGGGCCAGAAGGGCTTTGGGGTTTCCAGTGACCCTGAAGTTATTCTTACCTGGGCTTGTTGGGCTGCTACCAGGAGTAAAGCAGACGTAGAGGTGGCTTGGTACAGATGTGATTTACTCCACTAACAGCCCTCTTTTTGCACTTAGAAAGCACTGATGGGGGAGGTGGAGAGGAGTATCCCATCGACATCTGGCTGCTCTTGGCTTCCTACATTCGCCCGGAGGACATTGTCAGGTTTTCTCTGATTTGCAAGAAAGCCTGGACTGTGACTTGCACTGCTGCCTTTTGGACCAGGCTCTACAGAAGGTGAGACTCTCTACAGAAATCCCTGTTTGTAGGAGCCTTCAGCAGTGATCAGAGCTGGAAATAAGGGAATAATTTCCTCCAGGAGAGGGCCCTGTGTTTGTGTATTGACACTGTGATGTGGGCAAGGGGTTGTGGGATATCCCTCTCCTATATGACAATATGAGAGAGCTGGGGTTGTTCAACCTGGAGAGGAGAAGTATCCAGGAAAAGCTCCCTGTGGCCTTCCAGTCCCTTAATGGGGCTTAGATAAAGGAGGGAGAGGGACTTTTATATAGCAGATAGTGACAGGACAAGGGGGAATGGCTTCCCATTGCCAGAGGGCAGGGTTAGATGGGATATTGGGAAGAAATTCTTCCCTGTGAGGGTGGTGAGGGCCTGGCACAGGTTGGCCAGAGAAGATGTGGCTGTCCCATCCCTGGAAGTGTCCAAGACCAGGTTGGATGGGGCTTGGAGCAACCTGGTCTGGTTTGAGCTCTGATCATGACCACCTTCCTGTAATTAGGGTGGCCAAAGAGGAACCAAGGTATTTTGGAACTGTACAGTGGCAGAAGTAAGTTAAAGCAAGAGAAAAAGGCAAAGAGGTGGTCAGAACTTGGAATAAATCCTCCTGTGCTGGTGCATGTTTCCTTCAGAACAAAACATTTCCTTTACATTGCTCTCATTGCCCCAGAGGCAGCAGGGGCACAGAGCAGAGAGCAGCCATGGTCACCCTCACCCTTGGCTTTTAGTTGCCCAGCAAAGGCTCCTTTGGGATCTGACCAAAGGATGGCCCTGGAGCGCCGGGTTCAGGCTGCCCAGGCAGAGCTCAGCTCAGCTGAGTCCCTGAGAACCTGCAGCAGTCTCAGCCTTTTGTGCTGCCTGCAGCTAAATCCCTGTCTGGTCTCTCTGGGAAAACTGTCTGCTAGGAATTATTGGGGAACTGTGGCATGATATCCCAGGATATGCTGATCTGGAAGGGACCCACAAGGA